GTATGCAATACATATATTTGTCCGTATATTGTTATTAAATCCATGCATGTGTGTATTCAGGTATGTACATAATATACTAATAAAATTATCATCTGTTAATAAAAATATTGATTTATCACTCACCGACCCGATGCGCAACAGTGGAGTTACATCTGCAACGTCGATGATTCTGTAACAAATAAAGTAAAATTCAAATTAAAACAAAGTAAAGAAATAATCATTACTTAAAAAAATAATAATTGCTATATGAACGCATGCAGTTTGCTGAAAAATAATCGTGCAATTTTGAAAATATAATTTTTGTATAAGCATCGAACTTTGTACCCATTATTTTATTAGATATATAAAACAATTATATATTCTCTAAAATGATTATATACAGGTGTTTGAAAAATAATGAAAAATCTTTTGCATAGAGACTGGACTAAACTGAGAAAAACAGTCCTCTACCATTTTGAAATTTTCGCAATAGTTAACAAGATATTAATTGCTAAAAATTGCTTTTCAATTGGTTTTCAATAATTTTTTACTCAAATACTTTACAGAAAAACTGCAAGAGATGAAAATTGTTTTTTTTTTCTTCTCATAGAACTCTATAAATTTTTTCAGAATTTTTTATCAACTTTTTAGTATTGCATTTTCTCGATTTTAACAGCATGAGAAAATATGTATTAAAAAATTCTTAAAAAATTCTTAAAAAATTCTTAAAAAATTCTTAGAGCTCTACAAGAAAAAAATAAACAATTTTTGCCTCTTGCAGTTTTTCTGTAAAGTTGATAGTAATTGAGTAAAAAATTATTGAAGATCAATTTTCGACAATTTTTAGCAATTAATATCTTGTTAAATTGCAAAAATTGCAAAATAGCAGAGGATTTTTCTTCTCAGTTTAGTCCATTCTGTCCCAATGCGAAGATTTATTATTAGTTTCTAAACACTCTGTATATTTTCTAAAGTAATTATATATATATTCTCTAAAGAAGATCTTAGCAAAAATAAATTTATATAAAATTTTAAAGTATTATTTAAATTATTTTAAAATTAAAATTTTATACAAATTTATTTTTGTTAAGATCTTCTTTAGAGAATACACATAATAATTTTAGAGAATATATATAATTATTTTATCTATAATTTTAAGTAACTCTCTTTTTATCTAAATTAGATAAAAGGAGAGTTACTTAAAAATTATTCAAAAATTGTATACAAATTTATTTTTGCTAAGATCTTCTTTATAAAATATATATAATTATTTTAGAGAATACATATTATTACTTTAGAGAATATATGTTTTATTGAATATAGAATTATTTAAATTATTTTATTTAACAATGATTTAAAAATAATCATTTTTAAATCATTGTCAAATAAAATGATTTAAAAACAAGCGAAAAAAGATTAATTTTTTTTTTAATAAGTAAAAAATAATATTTACCACAAGGTTGCTCCACCGGTGCCCGATGTCTCTCCCAGATCTTCTCCTCCTCTCAGAATATGCACAGGACACTCGCGTAAAACACTTGCGAATAATGAACTATAATCGCGCGCGGACTATAACTTGAATCCGATTACTTGAACGGCACTCCCGAAACGCGCGACGAACCGGCTGCGGTTCGTTTATTTTCAAGTAAATCGGCGACGAGGGTACGTTAGCTTCCCCATTGGATTTTTACACGAAGAGAACGATTTTACTCAATATCTAAAAATTTATCTAGACATTTAGACATATCCGAAGATATTTGAGAAAAACCATTCTTTTCGTGTAAATATCCTCTGGGTACTGATCACCCTCATCACATCAAGGTGTACCCGTGAGAGGGAAAATAATCTGAAAAATATAATATATAGCTATTATCTACATATTACTATGCAATTATTATGCAATCGGTTAATTTTTAGAAACGAACATCAAACATACATCTGCAATTCGTTATCATTGCGAAATAAAATCAGAGCAGATAAAAGGGCTGAATCTTTTTTTTATAAATAGATGATATCTATAAGATATGATTAGAGTCAATAAAAAAGAGATTAATAAAAAAGATAAATGTTTCTTTTATTAACGATAAATCGTTCCAAAGTTACGGTTAATTTTTTAATGGATCGTAACGAAAGATACACAAAAATAAAAAATTAATTAAATTATTAAACTATATTAATTGTGAAAGCAGGAATTGCGACTTTTTTGTATGAGAGTATTCATATCAACATTGCTTTTCTATGACTCGTGTGATATCATTTGTACAGAAAAGTAGTCGTGTCGCATACTACTCCTCTTCACATTTCCTCTTCACGAAACGTATAATAATAGCAAAAAGTGCTAGGTATAATACGAAATGTTGTATTTTATGAATATTCACATAATACGATTACTAGTACGAATAATTATTCATAAAGTATAATACAACGTTCCGTATTGTATTAGACATTCTTCGCGAAAAAGATTTCGAAAAAGTAATGTGAAAAAAAGCTGCGACACGGCTACGTTGTTTGTACGAGCTTCGGTAAGAGAATAATAACTGCGCGATAACTAGGCGTAAACATGACGCGCCGTTCCGTGCCACCCCGTACCATCCCCAACCAAAGGTCACGCGCCAACCGTCTAACTGTCGAAATATTAACGTTAACGGCTATTACAAAATCAGTAAAATAATCTATTCGTTACGTTTTAATATTCTTCGATGAATATTACACGATGCTTTATTGTACGATTTACGTTTTATTTCGTTACGCACACAACTCATCTATATTTTAGGCCGGTATTCATAGTCAGGGCTTATATTCAAGACCGTCTAAGTAGAATTTTAAGAAGTCACGAATCAAAGATCCGTATTAGCGTCTTAAGACATTACTTAAGACAGTCTTGAAATAAGAACGGACTATGAATACCGCTCTTAGATATCTAATTAACACATCTGTAAGTGTATAATATGATGTTTCTATTTATATCCATTATTATATTTAGTCCAAATTGTTTCATAATTTAAAAAATGTTTGCGTTTATCTTTACTTAAAGAATGTACATTATTAATCTTATTATTAATCTTTATTTGAACGTAAATTATCAAAGAGAATAATAAAGATTGAGATATAATTCTGAATACACACCTTAGTTTCAAGCAATATTACTATTTGAGCATCCTTATGTAATTAATTATCAGTTCGCGTTCGTGAATCTCTAATTTTCGTAGATTAATGCGCGAGCGCCTCACGCCACACATCCATCTCGCCGCGAAGTCGCCGAGCGAATGCCGAAGTGATGACGATCGACCACCGCACCTTGCCCCCCTACGCCTTCGCTCCGCGTCCCATCGCTTTTCGTCGCCAGTGACCCCCTTCCCCTACCGAGCTTTTCGCCAGATGTTGTTTAGATTACACCCAACTATCGCGTATTCAAACGACGAAAAATATTCAATGATTTATTCAACGATTTATATAATTATATTTTTCATATTTTACATGATTTTGACAAACGGATATCGCCGTACATTTTGCGTTTTGCTTTGTGGCATCTCGGGCACAATCCTATATTACTTGCATGGTTCTCTTAAACGAATTAGTAATTGTTCGCGTGAGGTATTTTTGATATTCCAACATTATGTCTCAATTTTCATAATTCTTTTTAATGATTCATACTTCAATAAAATAATAAATCACAAACACACACACACACATATGAATATAAAATATTTTATTAATCTTTATTTAAGTATGAATTCTTAAAAAGAACAATGACAATTGAGACATAATGTTGGAATATTAAAAATACCCTACGCGAATAATTATTAATTACGTTTAAAAGAACCATGCAAGTAATAGAATTGTGCCAGTTGTTGCCACACAAAGCAAAATGCGAAACATCAAAATGTAAAAGAAGCTTTTTGCCTTCTAGAAGTTTCGTTTACGCTTCTTTTACGCTACTCTCCCATTACATTCGACTTACTCTCTGATTTTTATTTTCATCAAGGAAACATATTCCTCGGTGTATATAATTGTGTATCACATTAAATGACTCGCGCCGTTAAAACTAGATACATATAAGAAATTGTTTCATTAATCGGAGAACATTAAAAATGTAAAGAAAATATTATTTTACTTCGTATTATGTATTGGGTCATCTAAAAAGTATCCGCGGTTTTTTGTCACTAGATGGTGTTGATGATCAACCCATCTAGTGACAAAAAACCGCGGATACTTTTTAGATGACCCAATATATTAATATTTGGATAGTTAATTTTAGACGGTTGACGCGACCTTGGGGTGAGGATGGCATGGGATGGCACGAAGTGGCACGGGATGGAACGGAGCGGCGCGCCATGTTTACGTCACGCGTAGTTACGGCGCAGTCATTCCCTTACCAAAATTCGTACAAACAGGTAATCGTGCGATTCTTTTTCACATTATACTTTTTAAAATCTTATCGCCAAGAATGCCAAATATAATACGAAATGTTGTAGTTAATAAATAATTAATCACACTAGTAATCGTATTATGTGATTCATAAAATACAACATTTCATATTATATCTAGCACTTTTTGCGATTATTATATATTTCAAAAAGAAATGTGAAAAAGAGCAGCTGAAAATTTGCATAAAGAAACATACCTTTGTCATTTTATAAGATATTATAAGATAAATATTACACAAGACAAAATTCACTAAATTAATTGACTTATTTGAATTTTCAATTTCGTTTATTAAAATTCGACTATTTTTATTAACGTATATAGAAGATGCGAAATTAAAATTTATTCGTTCAAAGACACTTAAACTATCCTATAGATAATCAGCATGCTCTGTCCTGAGGATTTAGTACAGAAACGAACCACATCTACTTTCAACGATACGATTTAATCGATAGTGTTGGAAAGTGTATGTAGTCACGTAGTTCCCAAAATGAAAATGAGTGTAATGGCAGTAGTGTACGGATGATATCGACGGAGGTAAGAGGAAAAAGATCGACATGACCTCTCTCAGGTTTCTCTCTGGTCGTCGGTCGAAGCTTTGTGATTTAAAGATGGCTGCCAGTTGAGAAGTGCGCAGTGAATAATGGTGTGTGGATGTTTGCTTTGGTATTTGGATATCGCTCGTCTCGTCTCGCGGCAGTGAGTTCGCGTCGTCTCGTGTCCAAGGCGGTCAGCCCAACTCTTTTCGGAATCGCGACTGCATCAGATAGTGGAAAAACGATCGAACTCGAAGAAATGGGCCGGTCGCGTTCTCGATCGAAATCGCCGAGCAGACGGCGTCACAAGAGCAAGCATTCGCGTAAGCGGTCCAAATCGCGCGAGAAGCACTCCAACAACAAGTACTCGGACAAGCCGAAGGAGCGCAGCTCCAAGTCCAGGTACGTGTCATCCGTGACGAGTGGATCGCCGCATCCTAGTGCATCGTTTCCGCTCGTTGCGAAAGTCTCGATCTGCCATGTGTGCGGCCATCTTGTCGCATCCCGTGCGTTTACAACGTGTTCGCGGCAAGCGAAAAATAAATAAATGGAAACATAATTGTACGAATCTACCGATTGTCCGCGTATCTTAGGTCTTACACCCCAATTTTTATTTTCGTCAGAATGAACTTAACCTGATAATGTAAAAATTGTATTTCTCTACTTATGGCTAAACTGATCATTTTGTATGCTTTCCAGTACTTAAAGGACAGATGACACAGTGTAATACTGACTGATATCTGAAGAGATTGAATAACTTTGGATGTTTTTTAGCAAAAAAAAAATAATACTGACTGTTCTCTTTTTATCTTTGTTATTTGTTGAATACCAACAAGAATAGAATGACCTTTGTGTCGATGTCTCCTAAACGGAAAGCGTTCACTCTTATCTGTCTTTTACTGGAAAACACTCAAAGTTATTCAGTCTCCTAAAAAGATAGCAACCACAGTAAATCATTATATCCTTGTTGTTTGCTGATATTAAACAAAGATGCAGCAAGAAACAGTATATTACATTTTATCTATGTTAACATTGGCAAATAACAAGGATGTAATGATTCACTGTGTATTACATCAGTTTATTGATTAATCATAGCTAGAAAAATATCATTTTTATATTATCATCAAGTTAAGTGAGATTAAATATACACAAGTTAATGAGAAAATGAAAAATCAAGCCTTATTGTCGCCGTTATAAATTCTTGTTTTTTCATACATTTCTTGGCGACATTCAGTTCAATAAACAATTAATGTTACTTGTTTGGTCATTTGTTCAGAAAACGATCCCATTCCGCGTCGTCCAGCACTGGTACGGATGTATCAGATGATGTGCACATCGTCAGTCACAAGAAACGTTCGTACAGGGACAGGGATCGAAAGATGGACGAGGTGGAAAGGCTTGCGGAAATGGAGCGGCAAAGGTATATTCGTTGAATTATGTCGACAATGTTCCTCTTGATAATCGCGTTAAGATTGAAGAAAAGAACAAACTATTAATATATTAATGCATTTCTCCTTTTCTCTCTTTTCTTATATTGCTTTTCCTCTCTCTTGTGTATATCAAGTGGAACATGTATATTTATTTTGCTTAATTTAAATTTTTGTTATACGCTGTTTTTTTTATAATTGTGTTATCAGGAAAAAGAAAGAATTAATGAACAAAATCTTCACTACGAGCTCAGTTGGGTAAGAATGTGTAATTATTTCATGGTGGTGGTTTATCTATTTAAAGTTCATCAGTTTATTATAATATGTTTTAGTAAAAGAATATGCTTGATACATTTGCAAGTATCAAACTTTGTAACATCTTTTTTTACCGCTACTATTTTCAACAAAATGTTTGTTTAAATTATTATCAATTGATTCTGAGAGTTGTAACTTTTACAAGTCTAATTAAAATTTAGCATGCTATTAACTTTATTTTTATACAAGAAAATAATTTCAAAATAGTGTTCTGGAAGAAGATCGCTGCTTATCTGTCTGCAGACGTCAACGCGAGGTGGAACAAAAGATGGTGGAAGAAGAAGCAGCCAAACGTATAGAAGAGCTTGTACAAAAGAGGGTAGAAGAGGAGCTTGAGAAACGTAAGGAAGAAATTGATGCAGAGGTGCAAAGGCGGGTGGAAGAAGCCAAGAGGGCTATGGAGCGTCAAATGATGGAGGAAATGGAATGGAGACAAGCGAAACTACGAGAGGAGGAGAAACGAAGAGAGGTAAGATCTATCCATAGAAATATTGGTCAGTGATAGCCCAAGCGCTGTTATGATCAGCGGGAAATAAATTTTATGTAGAAATGTATTTTTGCAAAGTTTAAAATCTTAACTAATATTATTTATAATATAAATATTTCGAAGGAACTATATATTAAGGTTTACATGAAGACTGTCAAATCTGTAATAAATAAAGAAAACGTTCAGAAAATATTAGTGTTAATTGTAATTGTTAGGCCGGATCAAGTGCAATTTGCAAATCTTTTTATATATTTAAATTTTTATAGTTTAAAATTACAAGATTTGCAAATTGTACTGTCTTTAGGAAAATGTATGATTGAACTTGTGGAATCGACTCTCTCTCTCTCTCTCTCTCTCTCTCTCTCTCTCTCTCTCTCTTTCTTTCTCTCTATTAGTTTTAATTTATGATCACAGCGTTTGGGCTAGAAGCATTGTGGTTCGCAATTATATCATAAGAAATGAAGCGGAAAAACCACATTGCTTCAACTTCTCAGCATCCACTGAGGTCGCGTTGTTGAGAAGCTGTACTTTATATTATTATGAAAGAAATGCTGCTACATAGGCGCATGTATCGGTTATTTATGATCAAATTGTACCATGTATATATATATATATATTTATATATCTCTGTACAACATTATAACCTTTTTCATCACACGATATCTGAATTGACGTTCGTGTCAACAGTTCTAGAAGTTGTGCTTAAACTGCTCTGATTTCTTTAAATCGGCAGTGTCCACTCAGTTTCTAAAATTGTTGTGCATGTTGGCGAATCTACCTATATCAGGCTTCTTATATACTTACTCGAGCTAGCTTAAAAAAATGTTCGTGTGTGTGACTGTCCACATTATCACATCATACAGTCTTTAACAGAGCAGAAGAGAAAATATTATTGAAAAAGTAACAATCCCAAACTTTGTAATTTATCAAACAAGAGAAGTTTTTCTTGAGTATGAAATAAAGTTATTTTTATATGAAAGCATAGGAAGGTAATAATGTATATATCTTCCCTGAGCAGTTATTAATCGGTTAAATCATTGTAGTGATAATATTACGTTATTGATGTTGCATAAAACATATATGTCAAATAGTATAAATAAGAATAGTTTACAATCCATTATAAATTTAGACTTTCTTGATTTAATTATATAATATAATTAAAACTATGATGTATACATAGAAATGTAAAAGTATCATTTTTTATGATTATGATTCTTACATCATTATATCTTGCTTAAGAAAAAAATATTTTGAATATATTCTCTATGAATTGAATAAGTATTGTCTTCTGAATTCAATATTGACGCAATAATGCCTAATAATTTATTTCTGCAGTATTATTCCACTTTTTAAGTTTAACTTTTTATTTTATTTAATAGTTATTACTTAAAAGTATAACATTGAATTACAGTGAAGCATTCTGTTATGTAATTTACACATCAAAGAACTCTAATAGTTTTTTGTCACAAAATTTCTTTTTATTTTATTTCGTGATTAGGATTTTATTTGCTGCTACATTTTTGTGTTTATGCACAACATTTACTTTCAAAAGTCAACTCGTTGATTGGCAACAATCCTGATAACAAATTTGTTAGAGATTATACTCTCATTGCGCTTTGCACATTGGATTTGCATCGAATATGTATATCTCTACAAGTTTGGGAAAAAGTTTATTCGAATGGGAAAAATAGAGACTTTAAGGGGGCAGAATTAGAATCCCATAGCGACAAAGCACGACCTAGCGATATATAGGTCACCTTCCTTACTGACTACCAACAGAAGATGCCGGTTTTTTACTCACTGCTGAATGATTCTCGATGAAGAAGGCATCCCCTACGTGGTGGCGTGAGCTTCATTCAGGTATTATCCAATTTATATATTCATAATTCATTTTATACCGATCTTATTATCATCGTTCTTTGTTTCGACACTTTGTACCAGAGAGAGCCATATGTTAGGGTTCATTCTATAGATTCGCAAAACATTATTACCATGGGACACAACGAATTTCCATCGACAGGTCGGGCGGATGGCAACAACCATTCATATTAATGTACTGTAGGCTATTAGTTTCTGAATTATTATATACAGACCTCATTTAGAAATCTCGCCTATAGTTATAATGTTACAAATAATATTACACAGAAACACATACATATACACTTATCACATTGAGTTTTTATTATGCACTTGTCAGAACGGTATTATGAAAAAGAAAATTACATTTTTTTTCATGTATATTCTTGCATGCACACTAATTTGTATAAACTTATAAAAGATTAATCTTTTCTCATATTCAAGTAACATCCTAAATTATTGTATTTATCTTTGGACAGTCTGAGATAAACAGCGTTTGCTGGGTTCTCAAAAGAAGAATATGTTTGACACAAAAAAAAAAGAACATTGTTTAGACACACATCTTGTGTCACTCTCTGTGATTATTTCTCGTGCTAAACCATTCTTTTTTCGAACTCCGACTTAAATTTTATATATCCCAAACTTTCCTGCATAAAGGTTCTTAGGATGTGTAACACTAGGCTGTTGACATAGCAGCACTATGATTTCGAACGATGTAACAACAGATGGTGATCAACAACATCATTGCTTTGTGTAAACCTATTTTGTTGTCATTGTAGGAAGAACAACAGAAAGATAGAGGAGGCTCAGAAGAAATTGGTAAGTTGTATCGATATTAATATAACTTACGAAATGTATGTGTGAGGTATTATTATGCAACAATTGCATTTATAATGTCAGGCTGAAGAAAGGTTGGCCATGGTTGAAGAACAACGATTAATGGAAGAAGAAAGGCAAAAAATGAGAAAGGAACATGAAAAGCGTGTTAAGGAGGAGCAAAAGAGGATCTTAGGCAAAAATAATTCAAGGCCTAAGTTATCTTTTACATTAAAATCGGTTACGTAAGTTTAGTATTTGTATTGTTTCATGCAGTTTTACATGTGATATATACACGAAATCTTGTCATCTTTCGTACTTGATTCGCGAGAATAGTTATTATAAATTGTGTCTATGTAGGTATATAAGTATACTTATATAGATACATAGATAAGTGCTGTAATATAAGATACGAAGCTCACCCTAATGTATTCAAATGTTTGTTGAAGTCATACAAGAAGGAATTTTATTTATGATTGATACTAGCATACATCAAAATTAAATAATCAATTCTCATCTTGTGAGATTTCAACACAGATACAGATGGGATTTCATGTTACATGAGATTATGCTAATATCAGTATGAACGAATAAGTTTGTAATGTAAAGTTATCACACTTTGTACATCATACTTTGTTTTGTGTGTAATTAATTCGTTTACTGATATAAGCATATTCTAGCTTGTTTAGATGTGTTCCATGATTTATACATATGCTATTTGTACATCATAGGTCCTCTATTCTATTATTTTATATATCATTTCGATATATAAAAATCGGTTTTATTTCAGTAAAATAAATCGTATATATCACATTAGATCATGTTGCAATAATAGTAAATTGATTGTTTATACAGTTAAATTGGCCGAATGGAATTTATTAATGGAAGATACGCTCACATTATTTCCCTTTTTTAAACAGTTGTTTTTTATGAACAACCTCCACGATAATAATGTTCGCAATGATTTTTATTGGAAACACTGTAAACACCGGACAACTATTTTACAATTATATTAAGATTATATATTATCTAAATAATGTACATTATTTCGATCTGACGCAGAATATATTCTGCAAAGCGGCAAAATGGAACGATATACGTTTTACGATTAAAAAATCAAATGAAGTAATATAACGATTTAAAAAGTTGCAAAAATGATTTTGTACGTGAGTAATGAATGATACGTGAAGCGTGACATAATCCTATCTACGTTAACCGTGTAATAACGTGTATACATTGTTCCGTAAAAAGAAAAACATTTTGTCTATACAGGATTGTATACCTATAGCATTGTTATTTGTAACATAAACACGTTTTTAATAAAATGTTGCTCTTTGATTATTCTTCCATTTACCATGTGTTAGACAGCATATAATATAAAAAAGGAAAATGTTTTTTTTATACATGTAGATGGTAATTTATGATATTTTGTTTATATGCTAATACAAAATTGCTTGCGTTATATCTAACCGATTATGATAGAGATTGAGACAGTTCTTTGCGATATAGACTTTCTGACAGATGAATTTTAGCAATGTTACTTTATACAGTTACTTATTATAGTTATATATTACGTTGATCATTTCGGCGTCACGAATAAACCCTTGCCACGAATGCCAAGACTCACGCCTTGTCCCAAAATATTCACGCCGCAAAATGGATTATGTTGCTTGTAAATACATTCGAATTTTCCTTGGAATGCTTTTTTGTTTTTACGCCGATCCAAGATTACTAAAGATTGTAACGTATATATAATAATGTAACTTTATATGTAAATATATTTTTATTTCTGCGTAATCAGCGTACTTTTCATTGCGTCTTCAATGACTTCCGGATAGAGTTTTGCGGTAACTTCGCTGCTTGGAGGATGCAATCGTGGATTTGTATTTATTTCTAACAGCCACACCGAAAAATCATCGGCCACGACGAAATCAGCGCCATACAATTGAAAACTCTTTTTACGATTTACCATATTATCCTGTGATGCCAGAAGCGCTCCTATCAGATTTTGTTTTATTCCCGGTCTAATAATTCTTTCCCAAGCCAATTTTTGACCGCGTGATCTAAATCGGTAATTAATTGATTAACTGAACAATTTTAAATTCTCATAAGAGATAATATAAAAAGTACTGGAGATAATTCTTGAAGTTTTGAAGATTCCAATGACGTTGCTTAGGTAAGTCAGAATTGCATCTCGGTAACTGTCGATACTTCAACTGTACTGTCGTGTTGCACAAGTGAATAGACTCGTGAAAATCACTGAGAGTGAAATCTTTTGAAGCGAATCGTATCAAGATATCCCTGATTAAATAACTTAAGTTTTATTAAGAATTCTCTGCAATAAAAATTCGAAATTAAGAAAAAAAATTATAAATGTACTTGAACATCCATACGACAAGAGGTTGTGTACTCGTTATTAGAAACCATTGTCTGATGTCTATTTTTGTTTTATGAACAAGCAATGGTCGCTCTACAAATTGTAATTGCAAATGTGATGAATAACATCGGTTAAAAACTTTATTTTACATAATATTTAACATTAAATGCAAATGATACGTGCCTATGTATTTCTGCACGACATACTCGATATTTTCTTTCGCTGCTTGGTTTACCTTGGCAATGATATCAACCAAAGAATTTTTTAGAACAATTCCGCGACCTAAACTGTCGTCACCTGGTTTTAAAATCCATATATTTCTTATACCGTCGATGGTACTTTGCGGTCGATATTTTATCATTGTTTTCACTATCTCATGCACAGATGCTACAAGCTCCTGTAAAATTCAAAATTCTTTAACAATATTTGTCCTTTTCTTTTAAATTGTTGCACATCAGTATTAAAAAAGAGAAATCGCACTATAATATTTATACATACATTTATGTCAACTTCGTCGGTTTCCTTCAATATACCGCGCTTGTATAATATATCATGATGCCAATCTAAAAATTGATCCCAAGCAGAAGGAGGCGTATACCTACAATCTCTATCTATGTCCTCGTGTATTTGAATGCTAAAAATATTTCGTATTTTTATAATACAATTTTATAAATCAGTAATATTGCTTACAACCTTATATATTCTTCACAGCGTTCTAAGGCGAACGAAATCGCATTTATAGGGATTGTTCCATTTGGAGACCAGGTATTCTTCGGTCCTACCAAGTTGGTGAGTAACATAAACCATTTTAAAATCCCGAAACATGCAGTGATATAATAATCTTGTACAAATTCCTCCATTTGCGCTGACTATTCAAATAACTCTCATAAATGTAAGGTAATGTAATGTATATATTAACATTTTAATGTCATAATTTACATACATATACACATAATAGAGAGTGGGTCAGGACGAACGATACAACTGGAAGTTATTCTATATGCAAGAATAATACAAGAAGTTATTTTACATTCAAAAATAAATAAAAAATATAGAATAAACTTTTCGTATTCGCATCATTATCAAAAATTGTTCTATATTTTGACTTATTTTTGCTTGTAGAATAACTGTTTGGTTGTACCACCTGTCCTGACTCGCTCTGTATTTACTTGATAGAAATTATAGCATCGAGGAAATTGTATATTAGATACACCAGTTTCGTAAAACCAATAGGCTTTTTCCAAGTTGTTACACATATCAATCTAAAAATATGTTGCTAATTAAAAATTGTTTGCTTTGCAATGCATGATGCATATGCATTTATGAATCGAATTACCTTGGATGTAAAATAGCTACCAGCAAATTTATTCACAATAGCCTTGTCGTCCGTTCTTATAGAAGGTCTCTTATTCGTATGCCATATAAAATCCGCAGGAATCCGGAGTAATTTTTCTAACTGCTGTAAACCATCTGAAGAAAAAAGACATCGATTTTTAAATTGATAATTGATAATGATCATAAATTAATATAAAAAATATAACCTTCATATGTATTAGGAGAGATTGATATCATTTTCCTGATGGCTTTTTTATCAATCCAACCTCTATCCGTCAAGGGTTTCTTTAGAACTGGAAACGTGCCGCAAATCACGTAGCATTTATGCTCGTCCACGGCTTTCATTAAAATTTTCAGTAGAAGATTTATTCTGGCTTCGTTGTTTGTTATCAATTTTAAATAATCCGTCAATATTATGTTTCCTTTTTCCTGATCGCTCTCTTGATCTCCTAACAATTCTTTGAGATCTTCACGATTGCAACAGATCTCGGCATCCGCGGTTTTGATTATCTGTGTTTGAATCTCTACCTCACGTTGTGAATTGATCTTCAATTTTGGAAAATCAGTTAAAATCAATTGCAAATTTTTTTCATCGGGGTTTACATCTTTTGGACATATCTACGGTTTTATGAAGCGACGTTGCTAATAGAGTAAAATAAATCACGGAAATTTATAGTGAATATATTTGTAATCCATTCTTTTAATACTTGTCTACCTGCCAACCTTCGAAATGTTTTTTGATCATGCAATTTTTCGAAGATAAAATTATTTGCCATTTAGATTGATTGTCAATACGAACTACCGAATTATCACCCTCACAATGCATTTTATGTTTAAATTTCAAAGTTGTAAAAATTACGTTTTCAATTTTTTTATTTCAATATTTCTTTTATATATATGCGAAATGTGATTTTTTGACTTGACAATTTACTACGAAAGCAACAATTTACTGTTTCTATTTTACTTTTTATCGATTATCGTGTAACTCGATGACCTACATTCATATTTCATGACGTGAATCTTCACTCACGACCAACAAACGTCATCACGATCGAAGATATAATATATATATATATATATATATATATTTCATGTCTTCTCAATTTTCTTAACGTTTTATTCAATTAAATTTTTTCATTTGTCATCGTGATTCTTATATCTATTCAATGTTTTCTTCATTGACTCATTCAGGTATTTCTCTACTGCAGGATTTTGAAAGCCTGGCTTTTGAATCTCATTTATCTCGTACTTTTCGGGAACGTGGTAAATAATTTTCTTTCTTGTTGTTTGCATTCTCTAATTGAGAATGTTTAAAATCTAGGCATTCTAATTGACCTTTTGGAGGAAAAACCTTTTTATCATTTTTATTTTTATTGTGAGTAAATTTTTCAATATTTTTCTTCGCGTATTTATTTCTTACGTGTATTTTCGTCTCATCTCTTGTATTATTTCTTCTACAATCGAATGCGCTAACATTGACAAAATCTTTTTTTTGTGGAAACATTTTAATATTATCGGACTGGAAATTTTGCAAATAATGTAATTCAAATAATTGAAATCGGGATTGTAATGAATTTATCTCGATTGCTTGAAGATCTGTTTTTATTTCTTTTTTTTTAATAAAACTATATATCCTAAAAAAAATGTTTTTCATACAGATAGAAGTAAAACGATTGTTAGGGGTATAATTGTAACATTTATTAGTTGTATACATATATTACTTGTAGATAGAATTAGAGAATCGATCAACAGTAAAGAGAAAAATAACGAGCAACGAGTGACTGACAGGTTGTTTTCGATTATTTGGTTAGACTCAAACCGACAGCGTACATATCGGAGATGTCTGTTAAAATTTTATTTTTTTTATGCGTTTGTTTTTTAGGGAAGCTGCGACTCTTGCTTTTCGTCATCGACACGGATGTGACTTTCACAATTGGCGGTGTAAGTAGAGAAGGCAGTAGCGGTACTTCTGGCCGAATAGTCACGTTTCTTTTGTACTTTTTCATGGCATCTCGTATCGCGGTTTTGATGATCTAATAATAAAGAAATCAGGAGTGAAAATAAAATTCGTTAATTAATTTTCTAGTAATAATAAAAATTTAATAACAAAAAGTTTGTATATTAATATTAACATTATTAACCTTGTCCTCATTTTTTTTCAATGGTTTCTCGGATTTAGGCGGCTTGTTCATTGCCATGATTTTCGAGATCAACGTTTGTCTCGAGGATGTATCCAATTTGTTGCCTGCAGTGTTAGTGGACATGCGTAACTTTCGCGCCGGTTTATATGAAGATCTTTTTTCGTTATTCGAAGATTTAGTGTGGGTCTATAAAACATAAGATTAAATATTAATCAAGCAGAACAAAAAATCATGATGACGTCAAAGTGTCAGGTTTCAAAATGTCATTATTAAATGTCATTATTAAATGTAATTATTAAAAGTCATTCGATTAATCACGATTTACTTTAACATCATTCATTTTTTAAATTATCACAACCTGATGTTTTGCTTGGATAATAATTATAATAGCAAGTTGAATAATCATTAATTTTAGAGAATCAATTTCTCTAATATAATTATAAATAATAATTACCTGAGTGTTAGTTTTTTTGGACGGAGTAAGTGATTTTGTTTTGTTGATAGGTGTTGTTGATAGATCTGCTGAAGTACTTTTTGTCATAGTTTTCGTTTTCTCATCAGAAATCGCCTTTAAAGGCTTCGTCGGTGCAGTTGCTGGAAGTGCTGGTTTCGACTTCCTCGGCGAATTGGTGTTGCAAGAATACAATTTTTGATCGAGCTGAATCTCCAGTTCCTCGATGAGATCGACAATCACTGGCCCAATGTTGCTATGTACTATTGACTTCTTTTTCGTCTGTCGATGGATAAATCAAATTCGATCTCGATCTAGCAATGCTATATCATCTCTTATTTTTGCCTCACTCACCATCGGAGATCTTGCGACTAAGTTAGATTTAAAATCTTGATACAGACTCGATTTCTTCTCGCAGGTGATACGAGTACCGTGAAGCGACAGAGCTGCGCCCAAGTACGGTTGGCAAGTACTCGGGCATTTTTATCTTCTCGAAAATCTACCACGACTGTACCAGTAAAAGTACAATTTTTTATCATAACAGTGCAATAATGTAAAAGGAAGATAGTAATGTTTAGATTAGATTTTTAATTACCTTTAATGGTATCTTCCATCACTTGTCGACACAATCGCGTAGTAACACTGGTGGAGTAGCTCATGTCTGGATGACTGTTAATCTCGATCAGCCATACGGAAAAGTCCTCCATGACCATAAAATCAGCGCCGTACAATTCAAAACTGTTTTTTCGTCGATCCATGGCCTCTTGACTAGCCAATAACGAGCCCACCAAACCTTGCTTCATTCCTGGATAGATCTGTTCATCCCACGCATCAGCATGACCTTGAGATCTAAGAAAAAGAGAGAATTATTTTCATGAGAATTATTCTTGCATATTGCTTTATTAAAAAAAAAAACTATATGTGCATAAATAGTACTTATAGTTACATAACAGAAATTCTTAAGAAATGCTTAAGAAATGATTCTTTATGTGATGTAAATCATACTTGAGGAACTTTTTGAATGTTGTTGCGTCCCACATATTGTCCGCAGGTAGAGCAGAGTCCCTGTCGCCGCAGTTATTGTATTTGCATTGAATTGCGTGATTGCACAGATGAATCGACTCGTGAAAGTCATCCAGACTGAACTTTTGCGAGCAAAAACGAAGATAGCTTTCTCTGTAAACAAGCAATAAGCTCGACGAAACGTCTTTTTCCCTTGGCTGCTATTTTATTAGCGATAATTGCAGATAGCGCATTGTGTTGTGTATACCGTCTGGATATTTATATCCGCAAGTTTGACTATTGGAGAACAGAATTGCGCGTTTTAATGTCAACGAGGCATAAATTGATTATTACCCTACTTTTAAAGTTATCATTCCTTACGATTGAGTCGCTATTGTGCTTGTTAATTGTTCTAGCGTGAGCGTTACGATATGTCGTGACTTATTTAAACTCTTAATATATTTACGTACTTATACATCCAGAGAATTAAAGGTTGAGCGCACGTCACGATGAACCATTGCCTTATGTCGAATTTTGTGTGATGAATCAGTAACGGTCGTTCTAACAGAAATAATCAGATTATTTTTAACTGAACGAATGAAAAGCAAACACCTGCATTAATCAGCTAGCGTTCCATTGAAATTATTAATCCGAAAGTTTTATTACCGATATATTTCTGCACGACATATTGCGTGTCTGGTTTGCCTGTTGGATTTACTTTCGTTACTACGTCCTCCAGCTTGTTCATCAGAACAATACCGCGTCCCCGACTCTTGTTCCCAGGTTTTAGAATCCACATGTTCATTACGCCGTCCATGTCAATCTGTGGCCAGTACTTTCTCATCTTCTTTAATACGTGCTTCGAAGCCAGGATATATTTCTGACAAGTACGATATATATTTTCAAATAATAAAAAGGTATTATAAGAGAATAAATGCTTATAAGTAAATGAAGAGAAACAGATTATTTGCTAATAAATATCTCACGTTGAAGGGCACGTTGGTGCGAATGAAGAGAGCTTGACCGTGAACTATCTGATAATACCAACTGATAAATTGATCCCACTGATGAGGCCAAATCTTTTCACCTTCCTGATCAATGTCCTCATGTGATTGGGCGCTGATATAGTCACTACATCTTTTGATCGCGAAGTCAAGAGCTTTGAGAGGCACGGTGCCGGTTGGTGAACGCACAACGTCTTCGTCCTTAGCATTGACTTTGTCCACCAACCATTTTAAGAGACTCAGACAGCCTGTGAGTCTAATGAAGCATCTTTGATTAGTTTTTTTTATTATCAACAATTATGTATATTAAATATTTCCATAATTTGGATAATGTAGTGAAAAGTAGTCTTTCTTTTTTTAAATTATCGGCAAACTCACTGAAAGTCCTCGACGAAAGCGTGCATCTGGTCGCTTTGATATATGTTGTAGCAACGTGGAAACAAAGTGTTAGCCACTCCAGCTTCGTAATGCCAATGCATTTGCCTGACGCTTGAACACAAGCCCACCTGAATAATTGATTTTCAAAGAAGTACATGCAGCTTTATTCTTAACAATCGCCGTCACGCTCGCGAAAAGCGTGCATTCTCGCCAATCTTTGCAAACATCTCTATGCTTAAAAAAAAGCAATTTTACGAAAGGTCAAGTTCGTCTTTGCTTTTGAGAGAAATTATTCGCAAATAGTATTCTGCTAATATTAGAAAAATTATTGTTTTACATTATACGTGAACTGCGCTCAAAGAAAAATCAGAGGTTGAAACTATAAAGGTGACGACATACTTATCATTATTATTATTATTATAACTATAAAATAGTTTATTTAACTATACATTAATTCTATATATGAAACTTGTATAATTGTTACCTTTATAGTTACTGCTACTTTTTTCTAAGTGTAAAAATTAATGCTTCATCAAAGTTAAAAATAGTTGCATGGATGTGTATGTGATACCTTAGATGTGAAGCCAGCTCGACAATATCGATTGAACACAGTATTTTTATTATCTTGGGTAGGCCATCCGGGCCAGTCGGACCCAGTATTCCACAGAAAGTCAATGGTGTGATTGGCGAGCATCCTCGACATCAATAAACGTTCATTTTGATGATTCTTTAGATCACCGATACCAGCCAGTAGAAGCACTGGATTAGAATTGAGGTTGAAATTTTGATCACCTGAAATCATTGTTATCAATTCAAAGATATATTAGGTATATTAGAAATAATTAGTCAAATCATTTCTGATTAGTTGAAGTGAGTGACTGTGCTCAAGCTGCAACGTAGAAGAATGCTGCACTTTGCTGCACTTGAAAAAAAAAAACTAAAATCGTCCATTAGAGTAATTATAAAGTTGTACGTGATTTATTACCGCCGCTGTTCTTGCGATAAAATTTCTCACACCATCCTCGCTTCAACATGCAATCGCGAATGACCCGTGACTTGCCGTAAATCATAAAAGTACGATGGGCAGCTATAGCGTCCTTCACAGTTTGCTTAATACGCAAAAATCGCTCGCGAAGGGTTGGTTCTAAAGGCAGTTCTAAAGACGACTCACATTTGTTTTCCAGGCAGTCTGGTTCCTCTTTAACGAAAATTGTAAACGATATATGATTATAATATATTATTTATATACTTATTCTTGATTATTTATATATTTATTCTTGATTATATAAATATTTCAAACCTTTGAGGGATTTGATATTATAATCTATCGCAACCGTCTTTGTCACCACTTCCTCTCCGGGATTTTCATCTTCATTCTCGATGTTTTCTTTTTTGTCTTTCTTTTCTTCGCTTGAACTTTCCAGATTTGAAGAGGACCCATCCTTGGCATTCATGTAGTGGACCTACCGCACAGCTTCCCGCGCAAATGCGTTAATTTTCATGTGTTCTTCATCTTCGATTGATTTCAGCAAAAGATGTACTCAAAGGAAGCGCCGTTGTTTTAATCTGAAATTGCTTTTGCAAATATATTTACATTTACAATTTATTAGATCAGATCTGAAGATATGTATTATTTCTAATAAAATTAATCTGAACTCTTCGTTCATACTAATTTAATAATATAATTTTCTAGTCCCATATTGCAGGTTCATGTTAATTGTCATTATTTTTTTTAAATTATTAAGTGATTTTTACATCTTTAGTGCAGTTGTACTTTGACATCTTTAAAAAGTATTTGTAAGTATTAATTTAAAAAATTGTATATGAATGCTATAACTAATTATTTAATACTCCTATTAGTATTATTTCAAAGAAAAAAAAATGTGCACAATGATTCAATTATATGTGAGGATTATCTAATGTTCAATGTAGAAAAATTCCAGATTATACTTAATTTCCACCTAAATACACCACTCACATATTATTTTAACTCTGTTATTTGTATATTGCTCCGCAGGTATTATATTCTTATTTAACGTTTAATAAATTCCCTTAGAAGGGAGGGGATCTGAACGCGCCTCCAAAAATATAATTTAATGCGAGGAATGAAGCGAGAATGAAGAGCATGTGCTTAATTTTTAAAACTTAGTAGCTCGTAAAAAAGCTCACTGCGCCACTTTTGATACCTGTTGAATCCTCGTTGTTGTCCCAATAAATACATCCTTTGCAGATATCAAAGAGTAAATGTATTTGCAAAACCAATTAATGATCGAGGTCGTTTCGAGGATCAAGTGAAGAATTAGTAGTCGCGAGATAGATCGGTAGACTATTCGGAGATTGAAGATGAAAAACACTCCCGGATGGAAGTGGAGGCAAGACTGAACGACGACGATGTGGATACACGCGAGTGAGGTGGTAGAATCTGATATTTCGCAGGCGCGCGCCTCAGGGGTGTTTTAAGGCGCTCCTTATCGAAATAGTAAGATCGCACTGATACCTCGCCGCGTTATCAAGGAAATCGTTTAATAAAATCTCCCTCGCTTCTTCCCCGAACCATTAAAAGGAACCAATCAGCTCAGACTAACTGGAGAAAAAGTTCGATTTATAGGAAACTCTTTGCTGTACTGCCTTAATTATATTGTAACAGAATCTTTATAAGATTGCTTTGTCCATTTTTTTCCTTGTAAAACAATAATTCTAATGTACCCAAAAATAAGTCTTATTTGAAGTAAGATATTGGTTTTTTCAGTAATTTTTATCTCTGACAAAGCATCCAAATACTATTAAACTATAAAGTTATGATTAAAAAATTGTTATATAAATGAAATTAATACATTTATTTTTATAGAGAAATTTAATATTGAAATTATCAACTTGTTATTTGGAAGTATTAAATTGTTATTGATTAATAATAATTAATTACAATTATTTTAAATACTAAGAGCACTGTTGTTCACTATTTTTAAGATTCGAAATAGGTAATTAAACATTATCTTCCAGTAGGTATTAAGTCGGATTTCTGTAAGGATATCCGATATGTGATAAGACATGCTCTCGAGTACTTTCTAATTGTTACTTGGGGGATGCGTACATGTACAATGAAGAAGATAAACGATTGCGTTAACCTGGGCAATAATAGCAAACGAAACGTTCCTGGACACGTGAGCCTCACGGGTAGTAGTTGCAGAGCGCAACGAGGAGCGTACCAGGCACCTCCGCACACCCCCGCAGCACACCCCCGTGCGACCTCCGGCTCCGTTAGAATATAGGCGAGGAAGTCAAAGCGATCACGTGGTTAATCGGACCACACTTCGTTCCTCGACTTTGCATGCACTCTGACCTACTTACACGGCTGCATCTCCGTGACCGCGTGGAGAAGTCGCGGCAGGTGGTAGCCTGATGAATCGTTCGCTCGACCTGGTATCGCTAATTATGAGAGGGCAAGAGGGGATAAATCTCGATCTCCGTTTGATAACTGGTCTATTTTCGGCAACTGGCCAAATTCCGTCTCTGACACTAAATTTAGCGTTGATCGCGTGTGAGATAAGGCGCGCGCGAGCGCAGCGTTGATCTCCCACGATACTTAGAAATTTTTAGGAATTTGTTTAACGAAACATTAATGGAATGGAGAAACACAAAAAATCCATGTGGTTGACATATTACTGTTGCTGACGGGCAGCATCGGCGAGTAAAAGATGAAGTTGCCGATTACGTATCATCGCGTGTATATGTGAAAATAATTCGTATAGATATATGTAGGTACATACATATTTATACAAATATATACATACATGAACAAATTTCCATGAAATAATTACCGTAAAATAATAAAATGACATATAAAAAAGTAAAGTAAGTTTACTTTTTCTTTTAAAAGTTACTGTTTGAAATTTTCACATACATGTATATTGTATCGTTACATGGATCTTTGTTTAATTTCTTTTAATTATCTTCTTCTTTTCGCCCTATCTTCCCCTTTTCCTCTCAAAGCTGCTTGATATATCTGCTTCTCACAGCTTAATGCCTTTGTCTCCAATTTTAATATCCTTCCTTCCTGTCCGGTTTTCGTCGATCTCACAGCACGACGACGGAATTACTTCACATCTCTGACGTCATGCTTCGTAATTTCGACAATTATCGCCTTACTTCCATCGTTTACTTCCATGTTTGACTTCACAAAGTCTTTCGTCAATCATCATCTACTTTTAGCTAAACTGAAGTTACGGTCTTTCCCACCCTGCTCTCTCGCTAATCTGCTCGTTTCTTACAAATCATACGCAGCAAGTCCTCGTATATAATCCTTTTCCTCTTTTTTCATCTACTCGTGTCGTTCTCTCGGATGTTCCCCAAGGTTCCATTCTCGCATCTTTACTTTTTAATATCTCTGATTTGTTTAATGTTTCTCTGTCCTCCGAGCTCTTCATGTATGACGTATTCTTCTCAAATCCTTTCATTCATTTGATAGCAACTTGTTCTGCTTTGAATGCAGACTTAAAATCTATCGCCGAATGGTCCACTAATAATGTCCTGCATCTAAATCCTTCTAAATCATCCTTGCTAATTGTCGGTTCCTTATTATCTCTTATTCAGTCACCATTTCTCTTAATTCTATTCCAATTCCTCGCGCCTCTTCTATTAAGATTCTTGATGTGATGTTGACTCTTCATGGTCATTCTAGTCACACGTGGCCGTCAAGTGTCGGACTGCTTATACTCATTTACATTTTCTTTATTCCCTTCGTCGTAAAATTCTTGTCTTCGCTTCTCCTATTATATTCGTAAATACGACCACGTATTTCCGTATTATCAGAGATCTGGCTGGCAATGTTTTATTCTTCACCTGTACTGTATTTTCTCTCCTTCGCTCTAATATTCCTCTATATCTGCGATGTCTCCTTCAGTTGAGTTCATTCCTTTTTTAACTCTCTTGTCACCAGATACCAAGATTTATCCTTTCCCATATATCGGTCCATTAAGTTCCGTGCTGCTGTCTCCTATATCTTTGTCAAACATTTTTAATCCCTTCCTGATTCAATAAAAACCTCTCCTTCTCTATCATCCTTTCGTTCCGCTACCTCGCGTTTCATTGCGTCACTCACAGTATTCAAACTGATGTAACTGGTATGTTGCGAGTGTATGCGCGTGTGTGTATGTGTGTGAGTGTATGTGTGTGTGTGTGTGTGTGTGTGTGTGTGTGTTTTCAACTATTAGTTTTACCTCTTATTGTTTTATTCTAGTTTTGTTACTGGTAGGCTTTGTAACAGCAATTTTACTGACGCCTAACCATTTGCTAGTTATTATTATCTATTGTATTTATGTTTATGTGAACTGTAGTCTACTGTATCATACTTTATGTCTATTAGTCTGTTAACATATCTTTTCTACAGCTTTGCAATAAACTAAATTAAATTAAATTAAATTAAATTAAATTATCTAAACTTATTTTTCAATGTGATAAATTTCTTCCATGACATATCTTATACCATTGAGATATTATCTACTTCTTATTTAACTTATAAGTGTATATTATTATTTATACCGAGAGTGAATGTCAAGGTTGCGCGACCTTTGGCGCATAGTAATCAAAATGTTCTTTAACACAATGACGACGCAGTTCTCCAAAAATTTTAACTTCTTTGAACTTTCCACTATAAAAATTAAATTGTGATAAAATTTCGTAATATTTATTTTTATTATATTTTTTATTAATTATTATATAATTGTTATTTTTATAAATATAACTGCCAATGAACGGTTAAAATTCGATATTTCGAATAC